AGTACAAGGCAATACTAGAACAGTTGTTGGCAAGTATACAAGTACGAGGCAATACTAGAACAGTTGTTGGCAAGTATCCAAGTAAGAGGCAATACTAGAACAGTTGTTGGCAAGTATCCAAGTACGAGGCAATACTAGAACAGTTGCTGATAAATGTCCAAACATAGCACACAGTGCCCAATCATAGTTGTGCGGTAAGGCAGGGGACATGTATCTGACCCACAGATACCTGTAACTAGCACTTGTAACAGGGTGGGTATCTCTGAATTACAGTCGGTGAGAATTTTCACTAGCACTATTGTGGAAATATTCTATGTGGTGTACTTCATACTGCTGTCTCTATAGTCACTTTCCTGGTAGCTGATGTCACTTTCTTGGTTGTTGATGTCATGAAATGCTGCATCTGCAAAGAAAACCATTACATTTTATATGCTACCTAACACAATTAAATAATATTTACTTTGTGATTGAATTGTCTCCCTTATTTTTCGAAATTGAGATTCTACAATACCATGTACATTTATCTGTGTGGACATAAAAGGAGGTTGATGTCTCAGTATGACAATATACATTAACAGCAAACACTGGCTGATCTTGAATTATACTTGTCACATACGTTTGTTCTGTAGTATCTTTGAATTATCTTAGTGTGATAATTAAACAATGTTTAAAATCAGTGTGAAACTGTTAAATGCCAGCAGAGTATTTTATCCTGTAGTGTCGACATAAATCGGTATGCTTACCTTGGTGAATAACTTGATGCCGTATCGGTGGTGTATGTACTGGTTAGCACCCCTCTGTATGGTGATCAGCGACTGAGGTCGTGTCTGGACACATCGTCTGATATAATCCAAACAAGCGGTCTTCAAATCGTCTAATCCAAACTGTCTNGTTGTCAGATGTAATCTGAATACACTTGTATAGTGCAATTTATATTGCAGAAGTTCATGAAACTGAGGTTTCTTAATGGTATTACTGCTGACTGTAATCAAAACCTACCTGCAACACTTCTGGAGTCTACATCCACAGAGCCACAGTGGATGAACTGTACTATCTTGCGGAAGTCCTCGGGCTGGTACTTATTCACTTCAATGGTCAAACGGGATTGTCTGGGCTTTCTGGACTTCTTGGCTTCTTTCATACAGCGTTCATTCTTAAGGATTAGCTGGTACATAACCCTGAAACAATAAACAAGTTGTTACAGAAAAAGTAGTGATAGATTGTGCAATGGATCACAAAGGAATATTCTCCCGAAGTATGTTGGTTATTTGTTAAGGGACATTGTCTCGAAATCTGCCGGTAAAATGGTACAAAACAATCGTAAAAGAGTTGAGACCGTATAGTGACAAGGACCGGAAGAAATATATACTTATAACCATATCTTGTATGTTTTCTTATCATGTACATAATATATTTGATTTATTTTGTCAAATTTCATTTTTTTAAATAACTGTCTTAGCGGTGCCATGTCTCAATTATTGTACAGCGCAAGGATCCTCGATGAATGATATCTATGCACCCTTAACAATATTGTTTCCTTTTGTTTGGGCATTGTAGACCCTCTGAATTATTATTTGATAGGATTATGTCTTCAAGAAATACGTTGAACCAACCCACATGGTTGTATGTATGATGAAGCTTACCTGCTACGAGTTGATAGAATAGCCTTCACTCCATGGACGGGGACTTTAGTTGGCCCTACGAGGAATGTGACGTCACAAAGTTCTGGCATGGATAAGATGTATTTCAGGTGTTCACAGAAGGCGCTGGTGTTCTGGTACTTCACGTGATCACTGCTGATGTTGTCGCATTCCAAGCCCAATCCGTCGTCGACATCTTTGTTGTCGTCGTTGTCGTGTGGGGGAGATGATTCGGAGTCCGATGTATCGGCCGAGTCGTAGCCAGAGGAGAATCCTGAATAAAAAAGCGCATAAGTTATTTTCAACATTCACTTTACGGAATCCGTTAAATCTAGAAATCTTTCATCGACTCTGGTAGTGGATATTTGTAATGTTTCCAAAACAAGTTTTAGATGTCACTTAAAAGTTTTCAATTAGCAATATGTAAGGTAGCATATATATCTTTAATACAAATGATAAGTACAGTGTGTAAGGTTGCATATATCCTTAACTTTATCACAAGTTACAGATATACTGTGTAATGTATCATTCAACCTTAACGTTACACAAATGACAGGTATAAAATGTAAATTTTAACAAGACACATGCATAATGTGTAAGGTGGCATATCGCATAAACACAACTCACAAGTGTGAAGCGTAAGGCGGTATATGTTTTTAATTCTAATACTTATCACGCTTTTAAAGTAGCATATCGCCTTAACTCTTACATAAATCACAGGTATGATTTATATACTTAATTCTATCACGAATTACGGGTATATTTGAAAGATAGCCTATATACAATGTAAGGTAGCATACATCCTTAATTCTATAGCAAACTACATTTGCAATGCGGATGGTAGCATATAATCTTACTTCTAAAACATATCACATTTGTAAGTTGTATATACTTTACTATTTGTGTACCAAATTATATTTAATGCGTAGGGCAGCATATTTAAGGAAAGTAACTCTTATAAGTCATGCATAAGACTGATTGTTTATCATTTACCTTCAGATTCCGGCTGGTCGCTCAAAAGGCCCAGGTGATCACTGTCGACAAGTTTGGCGGTAGATTCGGTTCTTTCCATCGTTAAGATATATGTTGACTTGTGTTGTATTGTAGAGTATTGAAAGAGACGATTGTGGTGAATGTGATGGACATTGCGATTTTTATACCATTTTTGACAATTAAGGTAAGCAGTGACACGGAGTAGATCAGAAATGGTCACTTTACCTCACTGTCGAAAGTGACCGCTGTCTAGGCCACGTGCGACCGTCGCGTGACAACTTGATGTGTGTGTTTAACGCGCGTTGATCTGTTTTGATAACGGATTCCAAAGTGACCATGTTAGATTAGGATCTGTTGACATAATGATGCATTTAATGATATTGAAAATGAGTTACTAGACTTGTCAAACGGACACAAATATGTTGCACTAATGGGTGATTTTAATGCGAGAACTAAAGTCCTACCAGACTATGTTATTCCTGATCAAACTTTTCTTGAATCACTGCATATTACTGTAAATGATGAATTATACGCATACATGTATGACTTTGAAAAATTACCTGTATATCAAATTCCTTTGGATCGATATAGTGAAGATAAATGTAACCCGAATAACTTCGGGTATCAACTTCTAGATCTATGTAAAAGAACTAATTTATACATTGCTAATGGAAGAGTTGGAAAAGATCGTCATATTGGTAAAAAAA